ACCAGGACATAGGGCTCATCTGCAAGGATGTTGGGGTTGCTTATATGTCCGACTGATGCCAGTGCGCTTGGCGAAACTCCGCTGAGGTTCTGTTTGCCACCCGACTAGCTTTATGTTTATGCTAATTATCATTTAATGGCATTATTGATTAATTATAATATTATGAACTATTTGTTTTTTATATGTCCAATTACAATTAATCGAATCATATATTTATATCAAATTGAATATTAAATTTAATAAGCTGACTAGCTGAACTGACGTCTACTTCGTAGGGATAGGCGATCAATGCGGAAAACTCACGGAAGCCCAGCGTCCTACTTCAAAACAGTAATAGCATTGCATGCCAGCACCTTGCACCCGCTGGTTTTGGGCGCTCCCAAGATCCACACGTCCGTTTGCTACACGCGAACATCGACGCACCAGCCACGACCAAAGGGTTGGCAAAGAGAGGGAGTAGAACACGTGTAGCACGAAACCAAACAAGAGTACAAGCCGGGCGAGTGCTCATAAGGGGCAGTTTGGGGGTAGGCGTCTAGGGCTGCTTTGGGCAGAGCGGTGTCAAGAGTGCGGCCGCCGCTGCGGCATGGTGTTTGTAGTGCATGCATCGGTACTTTCTTCTGTGTCATGCAGTCCATTGCAATCCTCCCCATCATTCGGGATATTGGCCCACTTCTGAACCCAACCGCATGCAGTGAAAGCAATCCTTGGCATAGAGCTCGAAGCCAATGGAGTCGAACAGCTGCACGCAATAGTAGGTACCTTGGATTCGCTCGATAGGGCAACCTCACAGATAACCCCCCCATTCCCGCACTGAGCACATGCTGGTTGTGCGACTTTCAGGGTGCCACGTGCTTGCTCTGAGAAGATGGAAAGAAGCAGAAGGTGCAATTGAGGTCGGGATCTCAGACTCGATCGAACTTGATCGTACACCGGGCATGTGAGCCGGGTTCATTAGTTGAGTCGCAGGAGGCATTGATGCATCTCTCCTAAACCTCCCTTTTTCTGAAGCAAACTGAGGAGCTGAAGGTGGAGTCCCGACACCGAAGCATGGCAGCTGACAGTGTTCGGTGACGTTTACCTGCTCTTGAAGATTCCGTTGATGATCTGGCTCTGCTAAACTTGGCGAGCAGCCAGATGTTAATACATCCATGCAGGCCTTCTGAGTCTGTAGAATCTAGTAGCATCGTGTGTCTCCTAGCCGCTTTCTCTGGACATTGCGTGCCGCATGCATAAGCTCTACACACGAGCTGCGACTGCAAGACATCTTGTGGGATGCATCCAAGCGTCCTCTATGGACGATTGAAGACTTGTTTGATCAGGAACGAACGCGCCAGCGCACAAGTACTTGCTTGCAACAGCCATATCTCAGTGCAGTCTTAAACCCTATAAGCCCTAACTCCACAATACCCACTCATAAGAGTATAATGCCGGGAACAGTACCCCGGCTATTGCTGGGCGCAAAAGCCTCACGGATGTGCAAACGCGAACCGGGCCCCTAAATGCGCACCTCCAACCCTACGACCCTACGGACTGTTGAACATACACATCCTTAAGCTTCTGAACTCTCTCAATCCTCTCCCTCACTCTGAGGAAAATTCTCGGGTGCCCCGACCCAGGCCAGACACAAAGAGCGGACCCGGCCACGGCAGTGGCTCGTGGGCCTCACGATTGTCTCTAACAGTCTCACATTCTCTAGCCCTAAGGCTCTTGGAATGACTCTTCTGTTGTTTGGGGCCCAAAGAACATGCTTTCGGGCGCTTTGAGGTATGGGGCTTCATTGCCTTTGAGACAAACTGGAATCGCCGCCTGGACTCCACATAGCAAAACACGCAAAAACTCCCAGGGGCTGAGGGGTCCACATGTTTCTGTTGAAAACTCTTCTCTCTGCTTCCGTAGCCCTAAGCCCTAACCCTAAACCCTCTGAGAGGGTCTTAGTTAAGAGCATCCAAGGGGGGCGCCTCGCAGAGGCGCAACCTCGAGGCTGCCCCCTCACGGACGAGCCTCGAACTTCACAGGGGGATACATCCTATACGAACTTCGTTGACCCTTGTTTTTTTTCTGTAATATACGCATACACACACTGTATATATATATATATATACACATCTATTACATAACCACATATATATATATATATATGTATTTGTTGTTCTGCACTTTTGCCCCTGCAGGGTTTTGTAGCAAGCCTTGTCGGATTTGTCTTTTTTTTTGGGTGGGGGCTAGGTGCTTTGTTGAATATCAGGTCTTAGGCCCTTCACACGGTCCAGTCTGGGGTTTGCAAGACTGCGGATCATGAGGCAGCGCAGCTTGTGGGGTAGACTGGCGTTCACGCTTACAGAAAGAGCAAAACAGGTGCAGCTTCAAGAGGCATGAAGGCTTTTGGCACATGCTGTAACACCTGACGAAGTTGCAAATCACCGGCGGCTTTTTTGCATGTCAGCGCGGCTCGCTGGCTCTTTGATGGCCTGGGATATTGCAAAAAAGTTGGTAGCATCAGCTCTGCAAACCCGTATGGAAGAGCCGAGCTCGCCCAAGGGCAGCGAGGTGCAAATGGAGCTTCCAAAATGCAAGCAATCCTATGCGCACAGCATTCAAGATGCACTGCGAGCCTTCACCTAGACTGCCACTGTAGCGCAGCACACCTATCACGCTGACAACTTGACTTGATTTCGAACCATCGAGGATCCGCATGTTTGGGCAGTTGTACTCCGCTCTTATACAAGCCCATGGTGGAATCTCGATTTTGCTCCGTGGTTTTTGCATGAACTTGTTGCTTCCATCCATTTCCGACACTTCGGGGAAGGCAGGGCACAGTGGAATTCAAGCAACGTTCCACTCTGTGCAGCCTTGGACAGCCACTCACACAGGCTGTTGAAGCAACGAGATGCAACCACAGCTATTCCAACAGCATGCCGTACGCAGACAGTTAACCAGATCCGCAACGGCACATCGTGCGCATCTCGGGTTTCGCACTCGTGCTGCTTTAAAGCGGCATCCGACTCTCAGGGGGGCGACCAAACAAAATGAGTTTGGCCATCACGTTGCGCATGCAGCTGTGGGCACTGAAGGGCGCAAGCCATTTCAAGGTGCTCGCCCGACCTGCCATGGGAAAGCAAAAAGAATAAACAAGTACTGTGGAAACCTATGGTTCCTATTCCGATGATCGTGTTTCGAACTGGCTGAATGATGTGACGAGCCTCTGACTGGAAGCAAGTTCTGATTCAACATGCCTCAATGAAGCCTCCGCAAAGAACCACGGACCCTGATTAGGCCCAAAATCCCCAAGCCCACCTTGAATCCGCGCTGACCGAGCTCTTGAGGTGCCAGCAAGGTGCAACCCCAACCCCAAACTCCAACGATACCTGGAGTATCCTGGAGTCTCCCGTCGTCATCGAAACCTGCGGCAGGGCATATGTGTTGAGGGCCTCGGCGGGTGCCAATCATGCAAGAGCTCACAATGTCAGCACTGGCTGGATGTTTTGGCATCGCTGGCTGGTGACAGGATTTACCTGCAGTCGAAAAGCAAAATGTGGCTACATTCCTCGGTGCTGAGAGACATGTAGTCTATCATACTATATCGGTCGCCGCAGCGTCATTGTACCTAGCCTGTCAGTGGCCACACATCCAGACTCGCAGGGCTTCCGTCTTCCATCATCAGAAAGATATAGCACCAAGCATGCGCTCTCACCAGCCTTTGCCACTGTTGCCCATGCCTGGCATACCCATTTGTCCACCGCCGTTGGTCTCTCCCTTGCCATAGGTGCCACCGCCACCCCAACCACCTCCACCACCACCCCAGCTGCCACCTCCTCCTTTGCCCCAGTCGCCACCCCAGCCGCCGCCTTTGCCCCAGCCGCCGCCCCAACCACCTCCTCCCCACCCACCCATCATCATCTGCATCATACCCATCATTCCATCCATGCCCTTCTTGCCCTTACCGCCGCCTTTCCGCTGCTCACGAGGCGTTGCAAAGACGACCTGCACTTGGTTCATCAAACCCTGAGGGACGTTGCCATTGACATTCTCCACAATCCACGTTGCATCCTCCACGGTGTTCATGATGACGAAGGCTGCTGCGGCATCCTTTCCCGGCTTGACAGGGAGCACCGTGGATTCCTTCACAGCCCCATATTGGCTGAAGGTCTGCTTGACGCCCTCGCTGGTACTATCCATTGGCAAGCCTGTCCTCAGCACTGCACCGTAAGCTTTGCAAGGTCTGGCCAGCACCACTATCTAAACATGTCTGGTCACAATTTGTCATGTGCTGATGGCAGGCACAATTGGATGATAGTCTGATGAACACTTCCCGCCAAGGCTCACGAACAGAGTCTCGCTTGGGGGAGGGCTTGCTGCGGTCATCATGGCGGAGACTTCTGTGCAAGTGTGAGCGCTCCAAATGAGGAGTAGAAGCAATGACTGCGATAACGCTACGGTAACCTCATGCAGGCCTGCCGCTCAGTACTGTCGGCTGATGAACAACTATAGCTACCTCATGCAGTTAAGCAAAGCTGCCAAAGATATTGCGCTCTCTTGCAGCGACTTGCAGCAAAAACTTCGGCATTGACATCCGCACCAATGCCACATGCAAGCGTGCATGCCATGTGTGTTCCGCATTGCTCGACTGCAGTCGCTAGACTCGCTAGACACAGAGGGGTCATGTAGCAAGCGGAGCACCTGTAGGCCCTGTAGGCTCTACCCCACCCTGACAAGATGAGACTGTACTAGCGTACCAAAAGCAAACCCCACGAATAAAGCCGAGCAGATAAACAACATGTCACAAGTCAAGCACATCCCCGTGACAGTTGTCGCCCATCATGTTTCCTCTGCAGGCTGCTTGGTGAGCTCGCATCAGCGAGCCAGGTCGCAACGGAACCTACGCACCAAGAGAGGCTCCTATAGTTCCCGTGGCGTCTGCAGGCTTCAAGCATAAGCTTCCTATATTACCTATATATGCGAAGTGGCTACGCTCGCTTCTCACGTCATCTTGCAGCGAGGACTCACCACATCATTCCGCCGCCCCAGCCCTTGCCGGGCATACCACCGCCATAGCCGCCCCAATCCCCGCCACCTTTGCCCCAGTCTCCTCCGCCCTTGCCCCAGTCACCTCCACCCTTGCCCCAATCTCCTCCACCTTTGCCCCAGTCTCCTCCTCCACCTTTGCCCCAATCTCCTCCTCCTGCACCTTTGCCCCAGTCTCCCCCCCCACCTTTGCCCAAGTCTCCTCCTCCGCCTTTACCCATGGCAGCCACCATCATCGCCATCATTTGCATCATATCCGGCGGCATGCCCTTCATGTCACCCTTCATGCCCTTTCCGCGCTGCGTCCTTGGGGTTGCAAATGCCACGGTCACTGGGCTCGACAAGCCCTGCGGGACGTTGCCATTGACATTGTCAATGACCCACTGTGCATCTTGCACGGACTCCATGATAACGAAGGCTGCGGCGGCTGTCTTGCCGGCTGCCACCGGCAGAACGTTCGCCTGCTTCACGCCACCATACTGCTGAAATATCTGTTTGGCTTGAACAGCGGTGCAATCCACAGGAAGACCTGTCACAAACAGATCCTCGCTGGGAGGACCGCTGCGGGGGGCTGCCATAGCTGGGGACGGAATTTGCTACCTCCACGCGCACAAATGAGTTCTGTTGACACGTGCCCTTGAGAACTGAAGCCGTTGTCGAACAATCGGCGACTACCTTAAGCGCAATAAATAATAATCAACTCTATACGCCATCATATTGACGACTGCACTTCGGAAATGTGTGAGCCTCTGCAGCAGCATGAAGCATCCAATACGCGCGTTCTGCTTCACGACTTGACCGGAGCGAGGTTGCATCATGCTCAAACACCGAACTTGCGCACACTGTCTTTCCGCGGCTGGCAGCTTGCTGCGTGCTTTTCACTAGATGCAGAAGCTCAACGTTCTGCGCAATGGGTTAGATGACTGTAGTCCACATGCCCGCGTGCCACTTGATTGGCGGGAGATTTCAGGAAGCCGCGGGATTCAGTGCAAGTCGAACATAAGCATGACTTTCAGAAACCCCTTATATGCCCAGGCGATTTCAACCGGAGCATTCACTAAGACTGATCGTAGCAAAACCTTGGAGCACGAAACCGTGAGCTCATTGCTGGAACAGCTCACTCTCTGCATGAGCGAAATTGCAGGCTTCCCCAAATGTGCACTTGCCTTGCATGTAGTAGGGGCACATGCGCGTCTTGGGACCTTTGGAGCGTGGCATCAACCCGCTGGCGGGCCCCTTGCCAGCGCCACTGCCTGCCAGCTCCCACGCCCCATGCGCATAGGTGCACTGCTCTCCTTTTCGGCACCCAAGACCCAGCTCGATGAATTTGCACATTCGGGTCTTGTAGCTGGCAGGATTGTACCCGCCACCCTTCCCACCACAGCCGCAGCCACTCAGGGCGCCAGCATCACCAACTCCTCCAGCGCAGCCGTTCAGACCAGCGCCACTCCCGCCATAGCCGCCTGCAAGTGTGTTGGCCAATGCCATCAAGACATCCATCATACCACCCTTGCCCTGCAGCTCTGGCATCCCTGGCATCCCTGGAATCCCTGGCATCCCTTGCATCCCTGGCATCCCTTGCATCCCTTTCATTCCCTTGATTGCTGCACCCTTGCCGCTGGATTTGGGTGTTGCAAACTGCACGGTCACAGGCGACACAAGGCTTTGCGGGACGTTGCCGTTGACATTCTCCACGATCCACTTCGCATCGTCCACTGTTGCCATAGTGACAATGGCTGCTGCGGTTTCTTTTCCTGCTAGGACTGGTAACACGTTGACCTCCTTCACCGTGCCGTACTGGCCGAAGACTGACCGGCAATATTCGTTGCTGCAGTCCTTCGGAAGGCCCGTCACGAAGAGTGCTTCACGCGGCTCTTGCATCATGGGCGGCTGCATCATCGCCATGATGCGCACGCTATCTATAGTGCTAGTGTTTATTCGCGGTAGATGCACCAAGAGCATTGCGAATTTGTGAAGTGACCATGTGCAATGCTATACCCCCTAATTACAGCAGATATCTTCGCGCACTCACACGCGCAGCATGCACACGCGCAATCACACACACACTTTATAATGTGTATATGGGCGCTGTCTGACGAAACTCCTTCATCCCAAATTGGGGGCTTGAGCTGTGCTTGCACGGAGCTTGCGTGAGCTTGCGCACATGGAGGGGGGCTCAACATTGTTCTCGTGAAGGCTCATCACAGAGACAAACTGAGATAGCTGATACTGTCAGTCCATCCCTTGCGCAATTCCTTGCGCCATACTTGCGAGCGCCTAGTTTTTGACAAGTTTTTGTTATACTGGGTTTCCACTGATCCAAAGCATAGATAGGAATTTCGGACAACCTTCATGCACTTTCCCTAAAAAGCGACATGTTCGCACACCTCCTGCACACGTCCCAAAGACCTCCGAGATCTTCCAAGCCCATCTTCTGGCCCGTTTTAGATGGGCTTCCAGGTGCTTCCAAAAAAAAAATCAAAACCCTGAACCCGAACAAAGAAGTGTGCTGAGGCGTGTGGAGCCCACTGTGCCCCATAGCTGGCCTGCACTGCAACACTACTGCAACCTGATGACGCTGTGGCTCGTGTGCATTTTCGACGACAAGGAAGCTCAAGAAATGCAACAGGCTCCTAAACTAAAACCCAAACTCCAAAGCTCTGGACTTTACTCGGGGTTCTTGGACTTTTCCGCATTGACTTTTTCTGCATCACGTTCCAGGATGGGCAGTTATTCCCCTCACAACGGGTTGAATTTGGAGGTTGCAAGCCCCGAAAAAGGCCCTAGTCCTGACATCCACAAACAAACAAGGCTCGAGACTGGAGGGTTTGGCGATGTCCGGTATGAATGCTTCTGATGTTCAACAAAACCTTCCACTTTCAAAGCACCCTTTCAACTTTGACTGGAACTCTTCAGCTCATACTGTGAAAAACACGGTTGATGCGCTGGGTGCCAAAGGAACACCAACAAAACGAGCAGATCATTAGTTGCAACACCCGTTGACACAGAAGTCAGTGTTCCTCCATAATCAATATTTCTTCACGGTACCACGACGTGCCGCGCGAAACGAATCTCAAGCACTTCCAGGTGCGATCTTGCTCCCTTTCCCTGGGTGAAAAACGAATAGAAAAAGCCCCATGCTCTGGTGCATGTGATTTTGAGTCAACTTTGCGCGTCTACCCAGGCAGACCGACGATTTGGGTTAAGAAGGATGTGGTTGGAGGAGCCAACGTCGCGCAAGCAACGACATTTTCGGGAAGGTTTTTGTTTAGAACGTACAGTCTTGCATTGCGATTTTGTTGTAGTGTCGCTGTGGCACAAGCAGCGATTTTTGAGGTTGCAAGAGTTTCTCCTCCAGGGCTTGGGCCCAGGCCTCTTTCAAGCAAGAAGTGGGTTCCACCGAGGCAAGACCATGTCATTCGGAATATAATATATGGTTCGTCGCAGAGGTATGTCTTCGGAAGGAGTGCAAGGAAAAGGCGTGTTTCGGGCGATTTCATCACGGTTCGTCGATGCTTTGGGCTTTTACAGTACTGCTGTGGGGTTGAGGGTGGATTGCTTTGGCTTGCACGCTTTTGAGGGTTGTATTGATTGACATCACGAGTCATCAACTCCACCCGCTCCCCCCTGCCCCACCTCCTCCCTTCACAAAGAATCGAGCCAAAACAGGCAAAATTTGTGGGTCGATTGGTACATCTCATGGTGAATGTGATGGGGTGCGTATACCCACCCCCACACAGACACACGAATACACACACACACACACACACACACACACACACACACACACCCGCGCCCCCACCCCCACCCCCACACCCCCACACCCCCACACCCCCACATCCCCACACCCCCACACCCCCACACCCCCACCCCACCCGCACCCGCAAACGCACACGCACCACACACGCGCACGCACACGCGCACGCACACGCACACGCACACGCACGCGCACGCGCACGCGCACGCGCACGCGCACGCGCACGTGCACGCGCGCACTCGTAAGCCGACATAGGCCTATGGTCTGAGGCATGCCTGAGTGACTGCTGAATTGCTGGTCCAATGGGAAGCAGGAATGATAACTCTACTGCTGCAAAGTTCTGGGATCCAACTGCTGCGGAAGGTGGCCAAGTGATGACGATCGACGAACTCTACGCTCCACTAGAAGCTAGCTCGCATTCACTCGACAAGCATCATCAACATGTATGTCGTTAAACCCTTGCCGCCGGAACTAGCTAGCCGGACATTCTTCGCACGCTACGGACTGCTGCACGGCGACTGCACGTCCTGGCTTCAGTGTGTGTGCAATCTTGCCAGCAGCTGGGCACTTTCATTTTCTGGAGCAAAGTGGTGCCGGGAACGGTATATGCTGACTATATAAAGACAACGACAGCACACAATGGTGCTTCTGAATGTCGCGGTCTTCGAGTGGCTCATGGGAAGTCAGAGCCTGAAAGTCCATGCCTCACTTGCATAAGCTCATATGGGTCGTGAGCAAGTATACACTCCTTCTTCCAGGTGCATCGGCCCTGCACCCCAGTCGCCTTGCACTTTACATGTAGCCTGGTGCGCCGTTGCCCAACATAGCTTGGCCCATGCTCGGGTCTGGCCCCTTCCCCGCGCCCTTGCCATCCGAGCCATCGCCGTGCCAAAATGTGCAGCCATCTCTGGGGCACGCCATTCCTGCTTCGTAGTACCTGCAAATCTGCATGCCAGGCGGTGGCTTGGGTGGATACCAACCGCCCTTGCCTCCCCCCTGCATCCCTGCAACGGCACCCACCAAGGGAACCAGAAGCTGCAACAAGCCCGCCACGGCAGGATTTGCATTGCCCTTCATGCCCTTCCCTCCATCGTCTCCCTTTCCGCCACATCCACCGAGGGCACCGAGGGCACCGCTGAGGGCAGAGAGGTCCAAGCCGGGAGGGGGGCCCTGGCTCCCGTTGAGCAGGGGATTCATTGCCAAGCCCTTGCCAAAGCCTTTTCCTTTGAACTTGAATGCCACCGTGACTGGGGTGGTCAGGCTCTGCGGGACGTTGCCGTTGACGTGCTCCACGATCCACTTCGCATCATCTGCCGTGTTCATCTCCACAACTGCCGCGGCAGCTGTTTTGCCCGGTGCTACGGGGAGCATCCTGGCATCCTTCACGATGCCGTACTGGCCGAAGATCGACATGCAGAACTCGTTGGTGCAATCGACGGGGAGGCCCGTTACGAAGAGGGTCGGACTTGGCGGGCCACTCGGAGGCGTTGACGACATCATCGTGTCAAATGGCTGCGCTGCTCAGCACGAAGGCGAAGTCTATGGCAGGGAAATTGCTGGTCCGAAAGACCAGCTGCACGCAGTGCTCCTAATCCACGCGATATTGAACACCGCACAACAATCCCTCTGACGAGACGATACGTCCGCTGGTTCTTGCATGTTGTGTCGTGCCTGTTGGCATTTGCATCTCTTTCCATACACCGTCTCGAATAGTCACTGAGCCCAACATGCCAAGGATAACAACTCCGCCGGCAACAATCATGCAAGTGGCTGAATCACAGTGCGTGCGCCGACTATTGCAAAAGCTCAACTGAGAACCGAATTGCAAGCTTGCTGGAAGATGGTCGCATGCTACTCGGAAGTGTTAGAAGAAGGCAACTGACAATCCATTCCCGCCATCCATGCTGCATCGCTGCGGTGTCATCACTGTCTTTTGAAGATGTTGGGGCCAGCGTTACGGAGCCCAGTGGCACAGCGATTGATGCGAGCCTCCACGGCAGCCGGCCGACGCCTGTTAGATTCCTGTGCATGGGCGTTCAGGATCAGGGTACGGGTGGGATTTCAGGACCAGGGTCAGAATGCAAGGGGGGATTCTGCAATTTCCAGTACGAGGATCTCAGGCTCAAGAAGTCAAAGGGTCCCTGCTAACATCTGTCAATAGCTATTCGACTCAGGCATTTTGTTTTGGAGCTGGCATTGAGCCGACCATCTCTGACTGAAGAAGCCACTTTCCCAACAACACAATTCAGGCAAAGCTGGGTGTTGCGCATATTGAGCTGGATGCGATCAAGGGCGACACCTGCCAAGCAGGAGAGGCATACTGCATGTACTAATGGTCCTCGGTGCACCGAAAACAGATGCACGAAAATGCTGGTTCTTACCGGCAGGCTCGAAGGTTCAGGGTTCAGGGAGCTCCCTGATAGGCCCTAAACATCCGAAAGCCCCAGACCTCATGAACCGTAGAATTCAAGCCGGTGATCTCTTTTGACTTGCACTTGTGTCTTTCGATGCTTGAGGGGCCAGGAAGCCTGCCTTCACAGTCCTGATACTTCTTTTTATCAGGCGCAGCTGTGTTTTGACGCTGATTGCAAAAAGCGCAGGCTTTTGCACAGAACCCCTGCTCGGTTCGGGGATTTTGCTGTTGATGGCTTAGTTTACAGCGTGGGGCTTGTGGGCACGGCACCGTTTTCCGGAGGGTCGCTCCCGTGCGGAGGTTACAAAGAGCCTCCCTGAGAGGACAGAAAGACCAGGGTTGGGGGGGAGCTAGCAACAGAAAACTTCTGTTTGAGGGGGAGGGGGGAGGGGAGGGGGAAGCTTCCGAGCGACGAAGAGATTGCTCCGGATGGCACCTGAAGCTGTCTAGCAAGCATTGAAAGCAGATGGAGATACAAGCTTGGCCTGCCTCATATGTGCCGACGTCGAGATTCGACGATCGGCTCACCGGAAGCCTGTGCTCAGGGTCGGGCCCTGAAATCTTGAAGGTGTCAAGTCGATGCAGGAAGATGCAGAAAGGTATGGGACTCACAGATGCAGTCGCTGGCATAGGCAAAAAAAGAAGTAGCCATCTTTTCCTGACGTCGCCCGCCAGCATTTGGCAAAGTACTTTGCCCGCAGACTCCCGTCGTGCATGATAAGCTGTGTCGATACTCTCAAGCTCACCAGGCCAGTGTGGCATCATCTTACAGATGTTGGTGGACCTGGGCATTTGCCAAACACAGGATGCTTGCAAATGTTCAGGGGATTTCAGGGACAGCGAGACTACTACCACGACAGCTTCTGCCAGGCTGCGCGGCTGCCCACATGAGAACCCAGAAGGCCCATAAGCAATCCTCCACCGCATGACCAATTAAGCTACCTCTCACCAGCCTTTTCCTTTTCCGCCGTTGTAGGTGCTGCCGCCCCAGCCACCTCCCCCACCCCCCCAGCCACATCCTCCTTTGCCCCAATCGCCGCCCCAGCCCCCGCCTCCTTTGCCCCAGCCGCCGCCACCCCAACCGCCACCTCCCCAACCCATCATCATTTGCATCATGTTCGCCATTCCATCCATGCCCTTCTTGCCCTTGCCGCCGCCTTTCCGCTGCTCCCTGGGCGTTGCAAAGACCGCCGTGACTGGGCCCGTCAAACCTTGAGGGACATTGCCGTTGACATTCTCCACGATCCATGTTGCGTCCTCCACGGTGTTCATGATGATGAAGGCCGCCGCAGCAGTCTTGCCTGCTAAGACTGGGAGCACTGTGGCTTCCTTCACAGCGCCATATTGGCTGAAGACTTGCTGGGCGCTCTCGCTGGTACTGTCCATGGGCAGTCCTGTCCTCGGCCGCGATCTACGAGCATCAAGCTAGGGACAGCATGCGCAAGCTAATTCTCTCGCTAGCTCATGCTCTTGCAAAGGAATGACGATTCATGCTGAGCATCACAAAAAGGGTCTCGCTAGGTGGAGGGGAAGCTGCCGTCGCCATGGCGACAGACTGATACTCCAATGTACTGGACCTGATCCTGCATAGTACGGTGGAAATACAGCACCACTTACTTAATGACCACATCTGTTGCTGAAGTCCGTGTGTGGCTGTGTTAACATGCAGTGAAAAATGTTGCCTTGGACGATTGCGCTGTTAAGTGAGCGACGAGGGGACAACAACAAGGTATTCCTCAAGACGCTTCTTGACTTCATGATCGTGCACGTTTGCGCACTCTTTCTTTCCAGATGCGCATGCTGCCGGGAATGGGCGTACAAACCGCTATATAGCAACAGCAAAACTGTGCATCTGAATGCCGCTGGCTTGCATTGGCGGTTCAGTCGCTTTGGAAGTCGGACAGGCATTGCTCAGTACTGATTCCCCTGCTCGTAAGCTGCAAAGTTGTAGCCCGGTGCGCCATTTCCCAACATAGCTTGGCCCGTGCCGGAGCAGCCTGACCCCTTGCCTGCGCCCTTGTCCGAGCCGTCGCCATGCCAGAAGGTACAATTGTCTCTGGGGCAATCTAGTCCAGCTTCAAAGTACCTGCAAATCTGCATGCCAGGGGGTGGCCTGGGTGGATACCAACCGCCCTTGCCGCCTCCATTCATCCCTGCCACGGCGCCCACCAAGGGAACCAGGAGCTGCAACAAGCCCGCCACAGCTGGATTTGCACCCGGCATGCCTTTCCCTCCCTCGTCGCCGCCTTTTCCTGCGGCCGCAAGGGCACCACTGAGGGCAGAGAGATCCAAGCCGGGCGCAAGACCCCCCTCCAGTAGGGGATTTTTGCCCTTGCCGAAGCCTTTTCCTTTGAATTTGAAGGTCACGGTGACAGGGGTGGTCAGGCTCTGCGGGACGTTGCCGTTGACGTGCTCCACGATCCACTTCGCATCATCTGCCGTGTTCATCTCCACAACAGCTGCGGCTGCCGTTTTGCCCGGCAACACTGGGAGCATCCTGGCATCCTTCACGATGCCGTACTGGCCGAAGATCGACATGCAAAACTCGTTGGTGCAATCGACGGGGAGGCCCGTTACGAAGAGGGTCGGACTTGGTGGGCCGCTGGGAGGCGTTGACGACATCATCGTGTCTGTTGGCCTCGCTGCTTGGCACGAGTTTGCTAGGTCTATGGCGGCACGCGCCAGTCTGGCAGGTCAGTTCTGCACAGTGCAACCAAAGGCCACGGAAAGCTTGACGAATTATACGAAATGTTGCTGCATAGTAACATGCGTGTAATGAGATTTGCGTTCTGCAGTGTGTGCTACATATGGAATGCACATAGCCGTTAAAGACGAGGATCCCCTGCCTGGGAGCCAGAGCAGCCATAACAAGGCAGGCCACATGCACGATCTGGACATGTCTCCGCTGTATTTGCAAGCTAGACCGCAGTGCCAATCTTCCCCCTGCTTCTGATTGCAGGAAGAAACAAACTTCATGAGAACTTCATGAGACCCGCTCATACACTCACACTCAGAGTTGCTTTGCAAGTTGCCCCCGGGAAGCCTGGACTGGATTCCTCGAAACGTGGAAGCCGGGACGAATCAGCATCCTGGCGCGAAAGAGCGCGAGAAGCCACTGGTTATATCTGGTTATTAATCGTGGCTGACCAAGCCCCGCATTGAGAAGATGGTCAGTCTGACCTGCGCGACCGACCTGCCAGCCACCAACATCATGACTGCACCGCCCGAGCTGCCTTTGGGAAAGCAAGCCATGCCGCAAAGACAGCAGAGAAACCGCCTGAAACCTATACTGCAGGATGCACGGACATGGCACCAATCTCCTACTAAGCAGGTTGAGGGACCTCACTCCGCGTGATTTGCCATGTCAGCATCGCTGCAGCTCGAAGAAGGCGAGCGCATTCGAAAGCCCTGATGGCATCTGAACGCATGATTGATACGCGACTTGTAGCCATGTGTCAGGTTGCAATAGATGCTCCCCCCCCCCCCCGGTGATCCAACGTTGTCGGCTTTAAACACGCGCCTTAAAGTCTTCAAGATCTACTAGCCGAAAAGGCATGCATAGAGACAAGGATCCCGTCAAAGTAAACATGAGCCAGACTTAGACTATAGAACTCTTTAGATAACGTGTCTGATAATTATGTTGGTTGACTCCCATGAGCTAAACAGCGAAACGTTTGTCGGAAGTACTCATACTTTTAACCGGCTTCTTTGAAACCACAGACATGAACACAAGTGAAAGGCAAACCCGATGGCCTTTTAAACGCGTAATGGGTTAACAGCACCGAAGCTCTGTAGGCTCATAGGTTGTCTCAATAGCTGTCTGTCCTTCGTTCTCTTTCGTTTCCGGGGCCGTTATTTCCATCTTAAGTAAGAAGTAGAGCTGAGTTTCGGTTTTGTTAACCACATGAATGAGATTTTCATATAAACCATTTGTTTGAAACACAGCTAAGCAGATATGGTAGACGATTCGTGAAAAATCTTAACGGCCTTTAACGTAACAATGGTGTCTTCTTTGATATGACTACTTTCGGAGTTCCCCAAGTTCAATCAGTAAATCATCTTGCTACCTCGGTTAACATGGTTGGAGGTCAATTATATGATGGGTTGGGATGCTCCCCCTTATACTAACAGTCCTTCATAGGGACTAGAATACCCCCTATTACAATCCCTATTCAGGACTGTTAGTATAAGGGTGAACATCTCAAGGTAAGTTGTTTCTATGATCCTCTGTCCGGTTTATTTTGTGATGCTGCCGGACGTCTTTTGATACAACCCTAGAGGCTCACCAGAGCAACGTTTTTGGAAGCATTCCGGCAACAACATCTGGCCGTGTCTTATCTGATTTCCATCGGTTTTTAGGAGACGTGTCCTGCCAGGCTCAGCAAGCCGACTAAGGATTGCGCCATCCTGCGGTGCAGTGTTCAGGGGAAAACTTCAACACAAATCAGGATTGAGTCTTTATACGGTCCTCAAAAAGAAGTTGAAGATCCCACAGAAAAGCTTTCTGGATTCGGAAAATTCTTAAAAGTTTCCCGAATCGTCGACTTGAGGTCCGAGCAATTTCTTATTCGAATTGTGAGTTGCATTTTTGCATCCAGGCCCATGAGACTGAAGTAGGTCCCTCAAGATATTGAGTTGAAGTTTAAACTTGGAAACTGGAGAATGAAGATTGCAGATCCCACAGGACAGTTTTCTGGCATCTTCGGTTGGAGTGTTCTTCCAAAGTTGGCTTGTCCTCAACCCGAAGATTCCAAGAACACTTTTCCATGGGATCTTCAATCTTCTCAAGTTCAGGACCGGCAAACTTGAAGCTTGTTGTTTCTCTCATTGATTTGTTGGTCCTGGTCCTCAAACTTATCAAACGAGAAATCAAACGAAAGTATAAGCCAAAGCGAACCCCAATGTATATCCTTCCGCACTTGTCGATGGATTCGAAAAGCAAGAAAAAGGCTGGATGAATGGAGGGTTGCCATATATGTTTTTCTTTTGAAATGGATACGTATATCTATATGTGCACCCTCACATCAGATATGATATGCACCTTTGCGCACTAGGGTGTGCCACAAAAGTCCCTGGAAGCATGTTTGAAGCAATCTGCTTTCTCGTAGGCCCTGATTTACGAGTAGCAAAGGACCGGTCAGGAAACTCTTTGGTGAATCAGGAAGCGCTATGAGTAGCGGCCACACTCAAACCGAACCTCAGGAATGTAGTCGAAACTCTGCTCGACCTGCCGTCAGGCACTTCAAGATCGAGAATGAAAGGCCCAGCAATGCCAGATTCAAACGGGCTCTTAGGTGCTGCAGCTGAGTGCCGAGCAGACCACCACAGAGACTCGTCACGCAACTTTCCCTGGTGCTGCAAGCCATCCAAGTGCACACACATACACTAGCAGATGCACAAGCTGAAATACGTACGTGACGAAAAATCCTGTAAGACGCAAGTGCTGCTAATTGCAGTTCAGTAAACCCTTGACCAGGATCCTCGAATGCCCGCCTGAATCTCCAAACAGTACTCATCAAAGTCTTCCAGCAAGGGCTCCATTGAAACCTGCCAGGCCAACAGGATATTTGAGAAAGCATGCATACAAGGTAGTCAAACGGCTGCACAGTTCAGCTTTACCTTTCCTTGCGCTTTCTTCTTAAGGCCTTGCCGCGAATATTTAACGCAAGCAGAATATCATCACAAATGATTGCTAACATCCCGTGGCGGATTTTGGCATTTTTTTGCGGCCCCAGCCAACGCACGGTGCTGTCGTCGTAAATAGAGACTCCGACGTAGCTAGCGCGAAAATGTTGAGTGCACACAAGCCACCTAGCCTGGCAGCATGCAGCTAGAACCACGGCATAGGTTGCACAGAGCGTATCGAGTCTCATGATGGTTCTGCTTTCGCTGTCCCACATTCTGGCCACTAACGTTCCCAAACCAGCAGGCTTCACAGCACTGTTTTCTACTGCCTCATGGGATCAAAGGAGCGCTTCCTTCCAGCTCAGCTGCCACTCACCAGCCTTTGCCTTTGCCTTGCATGCCCATGTACCCACTTCCATTGGCACCTCCCTTGCCATAAGTGCTGCCGCCCCAGCCACCTCCCCCGGCCCCCCAGCCACCTCCTCCTTTACCCCAATCACCGCCCCAGCCCCCGCCTCCTTTGCCCCAGCCGCCACCACCCCAACCGCCACCTCCCCAACCCATCATCATTTGCATCATGTTCGCCATTCCATCCATGCCCTTCTTGCCCTTGCCGCCACCTTTCCGCTGCTCCCTGGGCGTTGCAAAGACCGCCGTGACTGGGCCCGTCAAACCTTGAGGGACATTGCCGTTGACATTCTCCACGATCCATGTTGCGTCCTCCACGGTGTTCATGATGATGAAGGCCGCCGCAGCAGTCTTGCCTGCTAAGACTGGGAGCACGGTGGCTTCCTTCACAGCGCCATATTGGCTGAAGACTTGCTGGGCGCTCTCGCTGGTACTGTCCATGGGCAATCCTGTCCTCAGAATCAGGCTAGGTATGCACAAGCACATGATCTCGCCAACTGTCACAGATGCTATGAGAATTCACAAGAGTTCGTGAATCATGCCGGGCATCACAAAGAGGGTCTCGCTCGGTGGAGGGGAAGCTGCCATGGCGATAGACGTAGGCGTATTCAGTAAACACCGTCGAATCTAGCTGCGCGTGCACCAGCATCAGATGCATCTAGTGCTGACACTACACCGGATGTTTTTGTCGACTGAAGACTGAGATGTCTTTGGTCAAGCTCTACATAGCAGTCGATTGACAAAGCGATACGTCTCGTCTATGATTTCTTGTGGAAGCACCCTGACTCAAACATGCTCCTGTACTGTACAAAAGGTCAGACTTCCGCATGTTGTGTCGTGTGGCTTTACTTGCGCGTTGTTTTTCAGCGATGCATTCCGTCGGGAACAAGAGCTATGATTACAACCCCTCTGTATAAGCACAACAGCAAAACTGTGCATTCTCGAATGTCATTGGCATTGGCGGTTTCTCAGAACATCTCAGAACATTACTTCATCAGCTCCGACTCGTAGTGTGCGAACTTGCAATTCTCTCCCCAGGTGCACTTGCCCTGCATGAAGTAGTTGCACATGCGCGACTTGAAGCCTGGTGCGCCCGGTGCGCCGTTTCCCAACATAGCTTGGCCCATTTGGCCCATCATCGGGTCTGGCCCCTTGCCTGCGCCCTTGCCATCCGAGCCATCGCCGTGCCAAAATGTGCAGCCATCTCTGGGGCACGCCATTCCTGCTTCGTAGTACCTGCAAATCTGCATGCCAGGCGGTGGCTTGGGTGGATACCAACCGCCCTTGCCTCCCCCCTGCATCCCTGCAACGGCACCCACCAAGGGAACCAGAAGCTGCAACAAGCCCGCCACAGCAGGATTTGCATTGCCCTGCATGCCCTTCCCTCCATCGTCTCCCTTTCCGCCGCCACATCCGCTAAGGGCACCGCTGAGGGCAGAGAGGTCCAAGCCGGGAGGGGGGCCCTGGCTCCCGTTGAGCAGGGGATTCATTGCCATGCCCTTCCCGAAGCCTTTTCCTTTGAACTTGAAGGTCACGGTGACGGGGGTGGTCAGGCTCTGCGGGACGTTGCCGTTGACGTGCTCCACGATCCACTTCGCATCATCTGCCGTGTTCATCTCCACAACTGCCGCGGCAGCTGTTTTGCCCGGTGCTACGGGGAGCATCCTGGCATCCTTCACGATGCCGTACTGGCCGAAGATCGACATGCAGAACTCGTTGGTGCAATCGACCGGAAGGCCCGTTACGAAGAGGGTCGGACTCGGTGGCCCGTTCGGAGGAGTTGACGACATCATCGGGTCTGATGGCTGTGCTGCTCAGCACGATGGCCAAGCCTATGGCGTGTACCGCTCTGAAAGACAGGAACGTTTCTAATTTGAAATGTCTGCTTTACGATGTGTATCAGGAAAGATTTGCAAAAAGCAGATCAGTTCGTTTTGAGACACTTTGTGAGCTGATTGTAATAAGACCCTGACCCTTGGTCTGTAAGCCATATGGCATGACACGAAAGAATCGACAGCGCTGCGCGAAGCTCATGCGGTCCTGGCTTCCAGTCATCAAGACACCATAGGATCAGCGAGCCAGGGCATCAGATCAGATGTCAATTTGCACTATGGGGAGCTGGACTCTCTCTCTCTCTCTCTCTCTCTCCCCCTCTCTCTCTACACGCATAGGGTCCCCCCGAAGGGCGTGCAATCATTCTTTCTTTCATGGAGCCGGGAAGATCACTCCCCGGGCAAATACTGCCCGCCCTGCTTGGGTGTGGTATGTCGCTCTCCGTATCTCTCTGGCCCTCTCTCTTCCTGCTCACTTGACCTCCCGAAGGAGGCCGCCCGTGGGGCCGTGCTTCAGCGATCCCGTCGGAGTGAAACGGTCATGCTTTCCCACACGGGTGGACGGTTTTCCTTCCCCAGCGCTTGGGGACGGATGGGTTTATGTGCTGCCTCTCTTTGCCTCCCTCTCTGTCTCTATTTCATTCGCTTTTGTTGTTGTTGTTTTCTTTTTTCGCTCTCTTACATGTCAAGACACCTACCTGCACTCATGGAATAGGGCAGCAACCAAATGAGTTCAAATCTCGCTGCCATGCCTCCGCCGGCTCTGCGCCCGCCAAAGCACGAAGCGCCACAGCAAACGCGTCGGCGGTGGCCTGCAGCAGCGCTGTGCGCTGACGCGGAACCCAGTCACGAAGGCTTCCAACAAGAAACACCCCTTGTCCGCTTGCTTCAACCAAAGGTCACTTCCTACGGCCCTGCAAAATACGCTTCGAGATCCCTGGGCCGGAAAGTGTAGCAGCGTAGGTACTGAAGCAGCAGTGAAGCCACGTCTGAACTCAAAGACGTCCAGCTCCAGCCGCTAGCGCACTCACTCACTTTCTGACTGCCAAGGTGTCCAAACTCGGACGCATGACACAGCAGGACATAGGATAACATGGCAGGGGAGCAACGTAGACGTAGCTCTATACGTGACATAAAGATTTAAGAGCAAAAAACAAGCAAAACTGTATATCGTACGAATATGCGATTGTTTCTACATCATATTCGCAGACTATTACACAGATGTGAAACAAGCCAACGGCAGCGCCTCGGGCAAATAGCCGCCCTGCAACGTGCAAACGACTCGCCGACAGCACTGGCCTGAAATTCCAGGTTAGATAGCTGGATAATGGATAGATAGATACATCGATAGAGAGAGATAGAGAGCGATAGAGAGAGATATAGACAGAGGTAGAGAGAGAGAGAGAGAGCGAGAGAAAAAACTCAAGACCTCATCAGAATCATCGGATCAGTACCCGCCGCCCTCCGCCAGAATAATGGGAGAATCGGAGACGCCCACCACCCCCAAATGATCGCGGTGATTTTTGTCGGGGAAGAGGGGTTTCCTGCTTGGTCTAAGCCCCGCAAATTGTCACGCAGTCCACCCTAAAACCCTACAAGCCCTAGTTACCTGAAGTAAACCCTGTAAACCCTAAGTAAACTTACCGCCAAACCCAACCAAAACCCTCTAAACCCTAATTGATCATCACACCCTAAACCCTGCCCTACACCTCTTCCCTCACAAGTCTGCCTTTGTCGCCTCTGGGTCCCAAGGCAAGACTTTTTGGCCGCTGCCTTATGAGTCTCAAACCCGACTGGTGGTGTAAACCGTATTTGTCAACATAATCGCAATATTAATAAGCCGGAACAAGCCCGGCAGGTCGAGCTCTCCTCTTGCGGAGACGGAGGGCGGGGGATTCTTCTGCTTCCGCTGGCAAACTACTTGAGAGGGTCGTATCGGCTTCAGAGGCGAGTTCCAAGTCTACTCCATTTGTCCATAAGAGCAGATCGCAGAAGATTCGTGGGGAACCTTGACTCAAAACAAATCTGTAAGACCCTCCCTGAGTCGAGTAACCCCCACTGCCCTGGGAAGAGTGCTGAGATTGCTGAGTGCTGGGGCGTGCTCGAGCAGCACAGGCTTCAAAGAGCCCCGCAGAGTAGCGGAGAGGAGCGGATGGATCACCCTGGCATGAAACATTCTCAGGTCGTTGGGCTGAGCTAGTATCTTCTTTCCGCTTCAGGCATGATGCAAAGCGGGTGTATAAGAGTGGGGTGGACAGATATTGCCATCTCCTGCAGGGCCTCCAGGCCGTCGAAGCCCATGGCTATGCAAAGCACATCCGGACCAAAGGCCTGGCGGGTCCCCACGATCATTACAGTACCACCATCATCCACTGATATATGTTGAAGCCTTGTGGGCTTTGAAATTGACAGGGAAGACACCTTTCCTGAGCAAGCCACGAGTCTGCGACCGGTACCCTTCAACAGCGCTAAGCTTGTCTCTGTGCCGAAATCCAAGGGTATGGAGTGGATGGGCTTCACATCTTATCCCATCTTGCTCTTCGGCATGTCAAGATGGGAAATCAAGATCCATGCTACTGGATTATGAGTCAACCATCATCGGGGAAGAACCGAGGATGCTGGCGGAAAGCCAGAACCTTTCATACCTTCAGAGGGCTTACAGCTGTGAGGAGCACCTCATTTGGGATTCGAAATTGTCCCCACAATGCTCCATGAACCTCGAGCCCAACACAACGATTGCACATGCCCGGCTCTCTCCAGCCCTTCAGGCTCAAAACGGCTTGCATGCCTATACTAAGAACCACCACCACAGATGTCACTCATGTTTTGCCATTCATCCCGGAAGAAGCATGAGGCTGGCCTCGATTTCAGGCCACGCGCATGCCTTTGCAAGACTGTTGATCTCTGACATCTTGACATGGGGATCATTACCGCGCGTGGCTAGACTGCCACCGATAATTAATGCACTGAATGCCGGCGAGGCACCGACAATATTTTCCAGGCTTCAGCATCGCCAGCCCCTTCCGCGTGGAGCGCCAAGTGGAGATATTTCATGAAGAGCAAGCAGTACCGAGACGCACATATGCATAAGTCCACATACTCACTGCCAGGCCCAGGGGCCAGAGAAACTTCCGCGTGCAAGGGCTTGAACCGCCACTCTTGTGCTGGCCCTTATGCTTATGTAGACAGGACACATTCTCTGGCCGCCTTCGGGCAATGGGAGATTCATGGTTGCCCCTTTGCCAGCACCATAGCCCCTCTCCTCAGCCTGCAACCGCGATGCTTTCGAGAGCTGGGAATGTCACACTTACTCATGATAAATCAGAAGTCTCCACATGCTCAAGACTTTGCAAAACTCACACGAAAAAGACAAGAAAATAAATGTTTGACATGCGCATAAACAATGCGTTGGGTCCTGCCCCCACTCATTAACAGTAGTCTAGCATGTCTAGCACAGGGGTGATCTGAGGGGCTGCAAAATAGTGCTACTCCACATATTATCCGACTGTTAACGAGTGGGGGCAGTACCCAAACAATGCGCAACATCACGAAAGAAGGAACGACGATTCAATGCAGGCGTCACACCCCCCCCCCCCACCCAACGCCCCTGCACTGTGCTTAAATCGGCCCCCGGGTCGAAGATTGAAGATGGTCTGGAAACTCCCCCTGACCATCTTCAATCTTCGATCCGGTGGCCGATTAAGCACATTGAAGTAATCGGTCTGGTCTAAGATAAAGTATCACTCTGAGACCGTCTTAGACATTGTCATCTCCATCCCTCACTCCTTCATTCCACTAGCATATGCTGTCACGTAGGCCGAGCCGCGCACGCCGAGCTACGCAACGACCACTTCCCTCTTTCTGGATCCCTCTCAGGTCTCATAGGCCAGGTCGCAACGGCCGCGCGTATAAGTGAAGATACACAACTGGGAGGGTCAGGTATATGAATTGAACTTATGAAGTTGTAACTTATCCAGATGGTGCGATCTGCCCGCGGTTAGCAGCAGTGCTGATCTGCTTGGTGTTGATCTGATGCCCAACTCTCGGGGGGGGGGGGGCAGAAGCACTTGAGGCCGGAAAGCCCAAAGCTGCTGGCATGTTGCACCGGCTGCTTCCCAAGTTCAGGGCGCCCTTGCATCTCTAGCATTGCTGTTCATATTCGTGTAGACTCGTAGACATGTCGGCAGAAAGCACCGCCTTGCCCTTGAGGAAGGGGAAGAAGTGGAGGTCGCTCCTCAGTCAGCCAACTTGGGGCAACTTGATGCGAAGCAACACTGTCATTGACACTGTCACATGCTTCCTGAAGTCGCCTCGGAAGCCTCGAAAGGCCTGGACGATCCCTGCAGAACGCTTTCAAGGGGATACACATATATTACAATACAACACCACATAATACATAAAGGTTCTTGCCTCATGTATATACATATATACATATATACCTATATCTATCTGTCTATATCTCTCTCTCTCACACACGCGCTCTCTCTCTCTCGTGCGTGCGCGCGGCAGCTGTGCTCCGTAATTTCAGATAAAACCAAATTATACAAAGCAATGTGCAATTTTGAGCCCTGGACTGGTCCACGTGAATGGAAATGCACAGGACTCGCTGGTCCTGCGAAGAGGGAAGGCGGGAACCATGATTCCCAGATTGCTTGCAAAATGCACACGGGAGGTTGCAAGACTTTGCACAAGGCAGACTCAGCAGCAGAACCTTTTTTGCCAGCGCTGGCAATGGATCCTGGTTGGATCTGCCTCGTTCGGCCAGTTGATCCATGAACTGCTACAACAGCTGCGATGGTTCGACGCTGGTACTGTGTAGCTCTGCTCCGACAAGTCGCCACCAAGGTCTGCCTTCCTTTACCCGCAACAAGGACAGGTTTGTTAACACAAAAATAGGGCGCGACAGCAACTGGCGGCTAGCGCTTCGGTGCTAAAAACCGGAGCCTGCATGATCAGGGCTAAGTACTGGCGTAAGTAGTGGATGACCAGGGACCAGGAGGCTTTCAGTGCCCATGTGTACTGCCGAGATCAGTCGACTGCCGAGTGAAGCCAGAAACCCCTGTGCAAGATAAAAGCATGTGTTGGTGGGTCGCATGGGCCGGCCACGGCTTGCCTCTGCTACACAGTACTGGTACCCATGCGGCAGCCTCAGCGACACTCCAAGTACGCGCACGCGATTCTCTCAACAGACATCTCTAGCCTGTAGCACTTGCCCAAAGGCTCCAACGTAGTTCCTTTTTGGGTTAGTTATAGAAGAAGGTACTACAAAAGAGCCCTTGAGATATGGACTGAGTCGCAGCTGCCGCAAGCCCATGCAATGCTTGTCCCCAGCATTGCCAAAACAAGCAATATATAATCATAGTATAGTCCTGCCTTCGAGGCAGGTAAGTGCAACTGAAGCTATCAAACTGTTGTTGCTTGGCACACCTTGGTCAGCGGACCAGGACTAGAGTTCTAATGAGTTCTAAACCCATGAAGCTGATATTTTCAGGTGTACACTTTCTGCCTGCGCCTTGAAACACTACCTGCAGCAACCTGGGACTTGCCAGGTACATGCATATAAAATCGACTCTATAAGCCCTGAACTTTACGTTCTTACAGGGCTGTAACTCTAAGACCTGCAGAGTTCACCTTCGGCTCACCTTGTAGGGCCTCCCTCAAGGTTTGCGCAGGCAATCTCCAGCATTCTGGCGCCACAGGTAGGAGTTGGGGTTGTTTCGGGTTTCGACGCTCGCATACGGCGTACGGCCAGTTGATTAGCGTGCTGGGGTGCAAGCCGGGACGGTGGATCCCGAGAGCAGAGAAAGAGAGAGGAGGAAGGGTGACACGCAAGCAAAAAGAAGCAAACTCCTAGACATCATGCCGCAAATGTTGCGGGGTATGCTGTCGTCGCATGCACAGGATGTAACATACTTTTGCTGTCATGATACAACAGAAACAGAGCGGGAAAGCACGTCACGGAGTGCCATGTTGTACCGAACCCGGCATTGAGTGCGACTGCAACGTGCTAGGCACATTACTTCCGTTGGTCCGACAGGCCCTCACCGCATTCAGCCTGTGCATGCAGTGAGCCCCGATCTTGAGAACTCCCCTCCTCAACGCAACCGCAGATGCCCAAACACATCTCCCAAACGTCGGTACGTTCAGCCTAAGCTCAAAACCATGAATCTCAAGCCTGCTAACATCACGCGGGCCTGCGTGCCAGAAGATGCACCTCATCATCAGCTGTGGGGTTCCAACGGGTGCACAAGACTACATACACACTTTCCTCTACAAAGGATCCTGCATATCAGATGAACCTTATTAGACCAAGACGGTATGTGTTCGAGGCCTGCGATACTAAGCTATGCACTCACCATGAATTGGAACCCGGAGGCCGTGGCAGCTCTTGACATGGGTGTGCACCGCAAGATGCCGCAGCCAAACACATCCAAACACATCGCACAGTGCCTGTGGGAGCATGCGAGAGCAAACGCTGCCAGCGCCGACTCACAGGCTGGGAGGTGGGGCTTGAGCAGATGGTTCTCATTTTGCAGTACTTTATCCCAGCCAAAGATGACAAAGAAATAGCGAACAAAACGACACAACACTGAAAGGCGGCGTTTTGCCAGCAGTGGACCACCCAACAAGGCCCAAGAGTCCTTGAAAAGAACAATGCAGAAACGGCAAAAGCAGAGGGATGAGACATGAGAGGCCAAGCGATAAGCGGGCGCGCGACAAGTAGCACATCGCATCACCCTTGCGAAGCATCCGGTCATACTCTTCTCACATGCAACCATGGGGCCAGCGGCGAAAACTCCTCCCCCAAGACGCGATCAGTCTGTCAGGCAACATGCGCAGGGGGACCGAACGAAGCCCGCTTTCTTGTTTCTTTCAGGGCTTTCTTGGGATTGTTAAGGCAGGCTGCTACAGCTTGTAGACTTTCTGTTCCAAGGCCAAGGGCTGAGGCCCCCGGGAATCGAAATCCGCCCAGCCTGTCACCCCCAAGTTCTGCCTGAAACACTTCAAGTATCCCAAAAGTATCAGGACATGACGTGGAACTCTACAAACTCATAGTACTCTCGAATTCTCTTCTGCAGCATGCTAGCTTCTTCCAGGTTATACTTTGCTCTTTTTTGCTATCATGGGAGACGTTCCAGACTGCGCCTCGGCAATGGGATCCTCACAGTGAAACTCTTCTCGGACGAGGTCGCCTTGAGGGGGCAGGGGAGATGTGGATTCAACACTTTGACACGATACAGAATCAGGATGCAAGGATTGCAGCAACCAGAAATCTCAGTCTTCCGTGATCTCCAGTCAACCGCTCTTATGTGAGCTACCTAGATCTTCCTGATGCGGGAATCGGAGAGCAGTAGACATGAGTTTAGCAGACTGCCTCGTGGTCGGAGAATGAAGAGTGCGCAATATTTGCGCATAGAACAGTTTTACCCCTCCCACCACAGCCCTCGCGGACCGCAGGCGGAATAATTCTCACCCCCGGGCCCCAGAACAGAAGAACAACCCGATAGCCGCTGCCGGCTTTAAGTTGTCATGCTTGCATGGCTCAGAGTTCAGCACTTCAGGGATGAAGCTTTCACGCGCGCGCCAATATTTCAAGATCAACCCCCCTCCCCCACCCCCCCACCGCGGGCCGGTGACTCTTTCGTTTCCCATCGTTAAGCTGGCTACCTCATCAGAAGTCAGCCAGAGGCAGGGTGCCCTTCACTGCACACTACGCAAGGTTGATGGCATGCAAGCACACTGATGAGCACAGGCTGGCAGCTTTGGATTGTGCTCCCACTCATGCCGTCAAGCTGCTTTGCAAGAGGTGGAACATTGTCAGCAGCCTCTTCCTTCAAGCCAGCTTTGCCAGACACTTTTGCACAGACAACCCATGCGCCAATCTACTGGTCTTCATCGTTTGAGCTACTACAAGAACTTCTTGGGTAATTCTGGGGCTCCAGGCATGCAGGCATGCAGCAGGCAAAATAAGAGTGCGTGCGCGGGCTTCAAGTGTCGAAAAAATGAAAGGAGTCTAGGGTCTCGCGAAGTGGCCTCCGACGCAGCATTGAACATTTACGTGTGAATAATCCCCAGTATTTTTCAGATAACTACCGCATAATTCCGACAATGTGCTATAATCAATCGCAATTGCTGGGCCCAGTCCCGTCCCTGTTGCATTCACTTCGCCCAATTGAAAAATCAAAGAAATTATACACGTGCTACGACTACAGTAACATAGTACGTAGAGTTCTCCATAATCAACATAATTAAACCATCCGTAGACTACATATATGATTCCTTGCGGTACTTCGGAGGGGGGTAGCATATATACAGATATAAATATGCACACATATTGACCCCATGCGCCTCATATGTATATATATATATATATATATAGAGCTTATTTATCTATCTATTTAACATATTGACCCCATGCGCCCTGGATTCCCAGAAACAACCGAGCAGGGTGACCACCGCCCCCCGAGGATGGCGCCAAGGAAGCAGCGCATCACAATGCCCTCGCATGCCCTCGCGACTACAGATCCCTCCTGGTGTAGATATCGAATGGGCATATCAAAGCTTGGCACTTGGGTCACCTTGCAGGCCAAACCCCTCAAATCGGCATGTTCGTCTCCAGCCTGGCGCCATTCAACATCACTTTGAAGGCCGGATGGAACAGAAAATCACCTGGGCACCCGTTCGGACATCATGTTCTTGGCGTCACGCAGTGAAGTGCGTTCGAGAAACCCAGCCCCAGCGAAGCGTGTACCATTGGCCTGTGCCGACCCCCAAACCCTAAACGGCGCGTTGAGGCTCGAGCTGCCTCCAGGCAGTCGTGAGACAGAAAAGAGAAATCTGTGCGGCCGGGTAGCTGATGTTTTCCCCGATCAGTTCGACCCGTTCCTCAAGAGCACTTCCATGCGGGCTCAACTCTGCATTGAAAGGAACAATAAATCTCCACATCACGCTGGGATGGCCTCTGGCTGGAAGTACAATGAGAGCACTGGAATAGGAAACACATTGGTTTTCGAAAAACAAGGGGCTCGGCCGAAGAGCCGACACCCAAAAGTGTTGGAAATAACGTGTACCAAAATAAGAAATCCAAGGGTATCCTCGGATTTTGGGGGCCCAACTTCTTACTTTAGGAGCCTCTCGCGCGTAGGAAATTATGCGTGCAGTGCAAACCTGGGATCTTTGGAGGGTTGGGGGCATGAAATCCGGCGTCATTTTTTCAGGCCCAAAAGTGAACTAAGAAAAGATTCAAGTTGAATTGCTGCGGGAGCCAGAAAGTTGAATTTCCTTGCTTGCTGATGGGTGGGCCTCCTGGAATTGGAAAGGCTGCGAGGGTCTTTGAAAAATGGGAATGTGAATGAAGAGTTTGGGCAGGTCTGGGAGGGTTGGGGCGGGGTTTTCGGAACCCCCCGCAGAGATTGAGAACCTGAGGTGGTCTCTTTACATTTTGTTATTTTAGTCTTCGGCCTAGCAGGAAGTTCTCAAGTTAAGAACATGAGGGGGGTTCCCTACCAGACTTGCCCAAACTCTCAAAGACCCCATTGCCTCAAAACTAGTTGAGAAATCCAGTTCCCAGAGTGCCTTAGTTGAGTTTTGGCTTGCTTCATGCCCTGCAAG